TTCTGCCAGTCTATCACGTGTGTTAGACATTTCCAATTCTGAACCCTGCTTTTCTTATTTGCTTCCTGCCATTATGCAGTTGAACTGTGAATGGCTTTTGCCCATGTTTCCTGACAAACACGGCTCCAGCTTCCTCTGAACAATGCCTTTGCTCAGTAAAGTGGTGAAAGTACAAGGGGATGTGTAGTAAAACCCTCCCCCTCCTCACTCCAAACTGGTTCCTGTATAGATTCAGCTGGTGATATTTTTTTGATGTTCAAGGGAAGATTTTGGTTTATCCAATGCAGAAAAGTCCTTTTGGAAGGCGAAGCTTAGGATGCACAAGTTGGGGGCTGGGCTTTGTGAGGTGCTCCACTTTACAATAACCTGTTAGCATCCAGCCTTCACTTTGTCCAATTGTTTAAACCTCGAACTCTGTTTCCAGTACTTGCTACTGAGTGAGGAGAGCTCAGACAACAGCTCTGAGCACACGGCCTCATTTAAACAGGGGAGCCTTGAAACCTTGTAAGGTTGGGGTTTGGGGTGGGAACAGGGTGGGAGCGTGGAGTTCTACATGTGGGTCATGAGCACCTGCCTGGGTGCAATTTTGTCCTGAGTTCAGGTACACTGTTACCCTCCGCCCTGAGGGTGGGGAAGTGGGGCTATTATACCAGGGTCTAGCACCCACTGGGTGAGGGTACACTTGAATTAAGAGGTTTATTTGCACTTGCTCGAGAGCCAGTTAGCTGCTTGCTTCATTGTTCACTCCAGACACTGGCTTTGGAATCTATAAATGTTTCCTGTTTTGGGCACTGAGCTGGTTTACAAAACATTTGAGTGTTTTTTTTTTAAAAAGATGAATCCAAGCTGTGAGCAGGAAGGGGGAAGAGAGAGACAGAGAGCCACACCCTTTGCAATAAGTGGTGAGCTTGTGACATATTTAGTTTAAATATCAGTAAAGAACTTCCTGCAGTGTTGATAAACTGTGACCTTAAACGTATGGAGATGTAACCCTGCGATGGCTTGAAATTTTTGAGTGAAATAAAGCTGTTTAATGTCTCTGTGTCTGTATCCATTGTCTGAAGTGTCATCTAGACTTGGCATTAGCTTTTTCTCTCCATGGATGCTGCCTGACCTGCTGTGATCTCTAGCACTTCTTCCTTCATTTTCAGTACAGATTCCAGCATCTGCTGTAACTTGCTCCTCCATTGTCTGAGATGGCAGGGGGAGCGTGAGGCACATGGAGGAAGTTTGAAGCAACTTTCAATCAGTCAGGACAAGCCAGTCACCAGCTCAGTGGGAGATTCAGCATCCCCATTGCCCAGCAAGTTTTAGAGCTGGACGCCACCTTTTATTAGAAAGATATAAGGATCCTGAATGATTTCATGGCATAAGTACAGAGCTAAGGTGAGAGCAAATTGCTCCAAAACTTGTCTCAAACTAATTTAAAGTTCCATCCCAAAGAAAGGTTTTAGCAGGAGTAGATATTTCTAGTCTCAGATAAGCTAGAATTTTCTCTGGCTTTATTTTGAAAAAACTGGAGCCACTGTCTTTATTTCTTCAATTTCACTCAAAAACTCCCCACTTGGCACCGCCTCCTCCACCCCACCCCCTTGCAACTGTTCAAACTCAGGCCCACCCCTGTCCCCTCTGCTGACGCATGTCCTATCCATCACCAAGATCATGGACCCCTCTCTGTATGTGTACAAACAAGGAGTAGGAGTTGGCCATTCAGCCCCTCGAGCCTCATTGCTATTTAACAAGATGATGGCTATAACCCTCAAATCCACATTATCACAAGTATTCCATATTTCTTGTATCTTTGGTCCCATGGTATGGTTACTGGAAGGGGTTCTATAGACCATTCCCATTAGTGACTTCTTTCTCTTCCTCATTTTCCACCCCCCCCCCGGCCTCCTCTCCCAAACCGCTTCCACATCTTGATCATCTGAACAAGGGGAATCTCCTCCCAATTGCACAATTTCCATCTTTGATTAACAGTACTACCCCTTTTTCTTTAAAGACATATATTCCTGAATATTTTCCCCTTCCTGCCATTCTCTGGCCCTTATCTCCCACATAACTGTTTTCCTCTCTTACCTTGTCTGCACACTTTGTCAAAGTCTTTCCACATTTACCACTTGCCTTCATTTTACAGTTTAAAACAATTTTCTGTAGTTATGTGGCTCATAAGAACATTGGTGCTGGCACAGTTCAGATGTAGCCTGTGCCAATGGTACAGATCCCACGTTTCCCAGGACTGATGCCAGTGGGCCATCAGCTGGACCCCACACCAGCCTTTGAGCCACGTTCATCCCTTGCAGCTGATTCACACTGTGTCACCTTGCACCTGGCTCAGGTAATCCAGAGGTTGTGACCTTTCAGGTTTTTTTCAAATTGGGTGCCAAGCTCCTTGTACTAATGTCAGTGTTGGACACTTAAAGTAGGGAGAGTGTCCAGCCCATTATTTTCCCACTCACCCCAAGCATGGGTATGGAGAATGCAGCTTACCCACCATTTGTAAATAATGAATAGAGTCATAAGGTCTACAGCCTGGGCATCTGGTGGGGAGGATTGTGGGCAGATTGGAGAATCCTTTTGGATCAGCTTCTGGGTCTGGCCAGGCTGGCATTAACAGGTCCAAGCAGCGGGCTGTGGAGGGGGTTATCTCTGCTGACTGCTGCCCCTCTTCCACAGAGACAGAGTACTGGGTGTCCACCAATGCTCTTATTGCCTTTACAGAGAAGTGGCCACTGCAGGGCCTTATCCCTCCCTCCAACTCCATTTTAATTGGTCTTTTCCCTCTCCTCCTGCCTACCCCTCACTTTTTGATGTCAGCATTGCTCTTAATGGGCTTTGCTTGTAAATATTCAATTGGCCACATGAATGGTTTTTTTTTCTAGTGGTGGAAAAAAGATATAATTGTTTTTGAAAAGTCTGCAATTTTGATGGTGGGAAGATTGTTCAGTTGTGAACAGTAGCACTTCTGTGTGGAGAAAATAAAGATCTACAGTGCTGAAAAAAGGCATTTTGGTCCGTTGAGTCTGTGCAGGTCATGAACAACCACCTAACAATTTTGATACCATTTTCCAGCATTTAGCTATTCCCTGGTAATCTCATGGCATTGTAAATACACATTCTAAATACTACTTCAATGTGATGAGGGGGTTCTGCCTCTCTCACTCTCACAGGCAGTGAGTTCCAGATTCCCACCACCTTCTGGGTGCAAAATGTTTTCCTCGCATCCTCTCTAAACCCCCTGCTCCTTACTTTAAATCTATTTCCCCTTCACCAAGGGGAAATGTTTCTTCCTATCTACCTATCTACCCTACTTCCACCCCTCAATCTTCAAAATTATGTTCTCCATCAGTCTCCTCTAGTGTATCCAATCTCTCTTTGAATGTAAAACTCTCCAGTGCAGACAACATTCTGGTAAATCTCTTCTGTACATTCTCCACTGCAACACATCCCTCTCAGGCTCCTACCATCCATCATGTATTCCCTTATTTGTCCTGCCCAAGTGCATCACCTCACATTTATCTGGATTGATTTCCATTTGCCACTGATCAGCCCATCTGACCAGCCTGTAATGTAAGGCCAGTCTCCTCACTATTTACCACTCCAGCAATTTTTGTATCATCTGTAAATTTACTGATCAACCCTCTGACATTCAAGTCTAAATTATTTATGTAAACCACAAACAGAAGGGGACTCGGCACTAATCCCTGCAGAGCTGCACTGGACACAAGTTTCTAGTCGGAAAACATCCCTCAGCTATCACCCTCTGCTTCCTGCCACTCAGCTAATTCTGGATCCAATTTGTCAACTTTCCTTAGATTCTATGCACTTTGACAGTGAAGGTAAGTCTCCCGTTTGTCACCTTGGACTTCAGTCCCAATGTCGGATGCGTTGCCCTCGTCTACACACCTGGTCACCACCTCTGGTCCTTCTGTTTCCTTTTTCTACCTTCTGTTTCCTTTTTTTTTCTTTTTCTTCCCCCTTTGGTCTCGCTGTGGGTCTCAGCCTGGTCTCTCGGCAGCTCGTGGCAGGTCCCGGTCTGGTATCTTGGCTTGGCTTGTGAGTGGATCCTGCCCTGCCATATCCCTGACGCTCTGGGCGGGGGGAGATGGGTGAGATGGCAGTTCCAGCAACAACAACAGTATTTGCAACAGTGGCCTCGAGAACAGAGCAGAGCATGATAAGTGGAGGACTCATCAATGACTGTTGAACTTAAAACTTATTCGTTTATTTTCTGAGCTTAAACTACGAAAGACTTTAAATGTAAGCTATTATCCATTTCTTTATTTTTCTGAGGGTCACCAGACCTGAAATATTAACTGATTGTTTTCTTCACAGACAGTGCCGGACTGCTGAGCTTTTCCAGCAACTTCTGTTTTAAGTAATGTTGAACTTTTTAACTCTCATTTCTATTACTACTTTGTACCTAAACTTTTTTGTTCCAAGGAACCTTGGCACCTAACATGGTGCTGTATGTGGCAACATTATGCACTTTTTGTACTTGAGTACATGTGACAATAAAATCTAAATGTAAAAATCAGGCTAATTAGTGGTTAGTGCCATGGGTTTGTGTCATATTAGTAAATACATTATGTTAGTTCCAGCCTGGTTAAGGTACTGTCTTTGTTGTAGTTTAGTCAAATCATTAGATGATTTGTCTGCTGGCACGCCCTCTGCTGACAGTGTCCTGTAGGTGCAGGCAACCTCCCTAGCTCCCCCTAACGGCGCGGAGCAGGATATATAGGGGTACCCTCCCGAGCGGCGGGGCAGCGCGCCCCCTAGCGGCGGAGTCGTGGAAGTACTGGGATGCTGCCTCTAGCGGCGGTGAGGTGGACGTACTGGGGCGTTCCCTCTAGCGGCGGGGAGGAGGAAGTGCCGGTGTTGGGGGGGGGTGTGGGGCGCGCCCCTAGCGGCGGGGAGGACTAGCTGCCGAGACCCTGCCTCGCCCCTCCCCCCGCACGCAGACGCGGTGAAGACGCAGCGTGGCGGGCGCGCGCGCGGTGATGGCGGCTCGGGAGCGCGCGGGGAGATGATGGCGGCCTCGGAGCGCAGGCTCCCGAGTCCCGAGGCGTTCGTGGGCCAGTCTTGGAGCAGCTGGATCGAGCGGGCGGAAGCGCTGCGGCTGTCGGACGGTGAGTGTGTTCGGTACACGGCGGGGGAGGCGCTCGTCCGGCTTGGGGAGGCTACGGTGCCTTTAACGGTTCAGCAGCGAGCGCCAGGGAAACGGTCTGAACGGACAACCTGCGGCCGGCCTCCTCCCGCCCAGAGAGCGGCGGGTCCTAGTGCCGCCGGCTCCCGGCACCGGGCGGAGGGGGCTGGGCTTCCGCAGGGTCCTAGCGACGGGCGGCGGGGAGCCGGGCTTCCGCAGGGTCCTAGCGGCGGCGGCTTAGGGCTAGGCTTCTGTGGCGTCCTAGCGCTCGGCTGATTAGGGCTGGACTTCCGTGGGATATCGCGGGGACCTACAGCTGGGTGGTTCAAGCTGGCCTTCATCAGGGTTCTAGCGATCACCATCTCACCTTTGTATCACACAGCATGGAAACAGACCCTTCAGTCCAACTCATCTGCGCCAACCAGACATTCTAATGTGACCTAGTCCCATTTGGCCCATATCCCTCTAAACCCTTCCTATTCATATACCCATCCAAGTGCCTTTTAAATGTTGTAATTGTACCAACCTCCACCACTTCCTCTGGCAGCTCATTGCATATACACAAGCTCTGCCCATTAAGTCCCTTTTAAATCTTTCCCCTCTCGCCTTAAACCTATGTCCTCCAGTTTTGGACCTATTCAGCCTCTCCCTTTAGCTCAAACACTCTCAAGTTTAACAACATTCTTCCTATAGAAGGGCAACCAGAATTATATGCGGTATTCCAAAAGTGGCCTCACCAATGCCCTGTACAGCTGCAATATGAAATCCCAACTCCTATAATCAATGTTCTGATCAATGAAAGCAGGCGTGCCAAACTCTGCTCTCACCATCCTGTCTATCTGTGACTCCACTTTCAAGGAATAATGCATGTGCACCCCTAGGTCTCTTTGGCAACACTCCCCAGAGCCCTACCTTTACGTGCATAAATCCTGCCCTTTTCCGTCTTACCAAAATGCAACATTCCACATTTATCTAAATTAAACTCCTCCTGCCACTCCTCAGTCCATTGGCCCAATTTGAAAAAAAAAATTCATTCGTGGGATGAGGATGTCGATGGCCAGGCCAGCATTTATTGCCCATCCCTAATCACCCAGAGGCCAGTTAAGAGTCAACCACATTGCTGTGGGTCTGGAGTCACTTGTAGGCCAGACCAGGTAAGGATGGCAGTTTCCCTTTTTTAAAGGACATTAGTGAACCAAATGGCTTTTTCCCGACAATCAACAATGGATTCAAGGTCATCGTTAGACTCGTAATTCCAGATATTTATTTAATTAAAATTCCACCATCTGCTGTGGTGGGATTCGAACCTGGAACCCAGAACATTACCTGTGTCTCTGGATTAACAGTTCAGTGATAATTCCACTTGGCCATTCCCTCCCCATTGGATCAAAATCCCTTTTGTAATCTTAGATAATCTTCTTCACTGTCCACTACACGACCAGTTTCAGTGCCATCCACAAACTTACTAACCGTGCTTCCTAAACTTTCATCCAAGTTGTTTCTATAAATGACAAACAGTAGTGGACCCAGCTCCAATTCTTGTGGAACACCACTGCTCACAGGCTTTCAGTCCAAAAATCAACCCTCCACCACCACCATCTGTATCCTACTGTCAAGCCAATTTTGTATCCGATTGGGAAGCTCTCCCTGAACTCCATGTGATCTAACTTTACTAATCAATCTACAATGTGGAACCTTGTCAAAGCTTTTATTGATGTCCACATAGACAATGTCAACTGCTCTGCCCTCATCTATCTTTTTGGTCATGTCCTCAAAAAACTCAAACAAGTTTTGAGAGACACGATTTCCCACGCACAAACCAAATTGTCTAGCCCACTCCTCCTTGGACCCTCTGTCACCAGTCCCTGTGCTGTGCCAGTGAAGAGGAACATGAGCTTGAGGAACAGCATCTTTGGTAACTTGACCTAACCAGACTTGATAACGATTTTAATAATGTCAGACCGTACCCTCAGCTCCTTTCCTCTTTGATTCTGGTTGTCAGTGAAGATTCCTCCAGACTCATCTTTGATTTCTTTACGTCTGTCATTATCATTCCACATCGTCTGACACCATTCTCCCTGTCTGTCTTACACTTTCCATTTTGTTCTTCCCTCTGCTTTGCCTGCCTCTGCACTTTATTAAAAGTTGTTATGTCTCTAACATTTTCCAGTCACGACAAAAGATGGGTCTAGAGGAAGTAAAGAAACATCACCACCAAAGGCTATATGAAAGAACAGAGGAGAGTGGTTATCATCTGAAATTATTGAACTCGATGTTGAGTCTGGAGGGGTGTATAGTGCCTCATTGGAAGATGAGATGCTGTTCCTTGGGCTTATACTGAGTTTCAATGGAAATCAAATGTGGCTGAGGTCAGAGTGGGAATAGTGGCACAGTCTGGGTGACTGATCCAAAGGCCCAGATGAACACGTAGAACAGTGGTTCCCAATCACCTCAGGAACATGGCACACTTCAATGAGACAAACAGTTCCACAGCACACCTACTTTTTTCAGCTGAGCTGACCATGAACATCACAATTACTTGCATTTATAATGATTATAGCATAGGGTGTACAGCCAGCTAAAGAAGGATCTAAAGCAGTGGATGTTTCAAATCCATTGAAAAAGACACTGCCTTTCACTGAGAACACAGACACATTTTCAAAATCTGCTCAACTCACCTATTTCTGACTGTTGATGGCTATACATCTGTTCCACACACTGCACTCCATTCAGAGGTCTGAATTTCACAGGTTTCACATTTGTAACAAAATTTTTAAAATACATTTTTTATTAAATAATTAACATAGGATTGAAATTCAATGGATCAAATAAAAATGTAAGTAAATTGCAGTTTAGCAGGTTAGTTAGAAACCTGGGCCTTCTGGAGCATGCAGAGCCTTTACGCCTGGGGGAGAGCACCTTCACCTAGTTTTGTTTTAATCAGTGACTAAAGAAACTATCGCCTCATCTGTCTTTTACCCTTCGGCCGCCTGTATTTAGAATGTTCAGGTTTAAGGATCAAAAGACCAATACCTCGCTTTTATTTTGATGAATAATTTTCACGAGTTTTAGGAGTTGTAGTTTTGTTTGGATACAGCACTTTTTAAGATGAAATGAAGGTTTGTCTTCTATTGATTTGCATTACCTTTGTAAAAACGTTAATGACACACTTGGACAGACAGAGTATCCAGTATCCTGGGCCTTATTAATAGGGGCATTACAAGTTCAGCACCACTTCTATAAGACACTTGTTAGACCTCAGTTATCACATTGGGGAACCTGTGCCATTACCCCTCTATGCCTTTTAAGCAGCCCTCCCCAGCACTCAGCAAAGTTTCTTCTTTGTCACGGGCACCCAACAGGATTTTCCTGTTGGTGGTTTTTAGTATGTCCTAACAGTGGCACCTCAGTAACATAATGTCAGGCTGCTGCTAGTTACAGTTCATTTGCAATACCGGTGGGGATGGGTCTGTCACTGTATAACACTGGGGTACAGTACCGGTGGGGATGGGTCTGTCACTGTATAACACTGGGGTACAGTACCGGTGGGGACAGGTCTGTC